TTTGAGAAGCAAGTAAGGGAAGTAGAGGAAAAACTGGGAAGAGAAATGAGAGTGATGCAAGAAAATCATGAAAAACAAGTCAACAGCTTGCTAAAGGAGACCCAAAAAAATACTGAAGAAAATAACACCTTAAAAAACAGCCTAACCCAAATGGCAAAAGAGGTCCAAAAAGCCAATGAGGAGAAGAATGCCCTAAAAAGAAAAATGGGCCAAATGGAAAAGGAAGTCCAAAAGATTACTGAAGAAAATACTTCCTTAAAAATTAGGATAGAGCAATTGGAAGACAGTGACTTTATGAGAAATCAAGACACCGTAAAACAAATCCAAAAGAATGAAAAATTAGAAAAAAGTGAAATATCTCATTGGAAAAACAACTGACCTGGAAAATAGATCCAGGAGAGAGAATTTAAAAATTATTGGACTATCTGAAAGCCATGATCAAAAAAAGAGCCTAGATGTCATCTTTCAAGAAATTATCAAGGAAAACTGCCCTGATATATTAGAACCAGAGGGCAAAAAAGAAATCCATAGATCTCCTCCTGAAAGAGATCCCCAAAGGAAAACTCCTAGGAATATTGTAGCCAAATTCCAGAGTTCCCAGGTCAAGGAGAAAATATTACAAGCTGCCGGAAAGAAACAATTCAAGTACTGTGATAACACAATCAGGATAACACAAGATTTAGCAGCTTCTACATTAAAGGACAGGGCATGGAATATAATATTCCAGAGGGCAAAGGAGATAGGATTACAACCAAGAATCACCTACCCAGCAAAACTGAGTATAATCCTTCAGGGGAAAAAATGGTCATTCAGTGAAATAGAGGACTTTCAAGCATTCCTGATGAAAAGACCAGAGCTAAACAAAAAATCTGACTTTCAAATACAGGACTCCAGTGGAACATGAAGAGGTAAACAGGAAAGAGAAATCATAAGAGACTTATTAAGATTGAACTGTTTACATTCCTGCATGGAAAGATGATATTTGTAACTCATGAGAACTTTGTCAGTATTAGGGTAGTTGAAGGAAAAAAATTATATGTATGTATATATAGATAGATAGATAGAGGGCACAGGGTGAGTTGAAGATTAAGGGGTCATATCTGGAGAATAAAATTAAGGGATGAGAGAGGATGACTGGAGAAGAAAGGGAGAGGTAGAATGGGGTAAATTATCTCACAAAAAAACAGAAAAGAAAATGCTCTTACAGTGGAGGGGAAACAGGGGAAGGTGAGAGGGAATGAGTGAATCTTATTCTCATAGGATTTGGCTTAAGGAGGGAATAACATACACATTCAATTGGGTATGGAAATCTGTCTTACCCTACAGGAAAATAGGGGGAGAAGGGGACAAGAGAGCAGGGGGATGATAGAGAGGAGGGCAGATTGGGAAAGGGGTAATCAGAAGTAAATACTTCTGAGGAGGGACAGGGTCAAAAGAAAGAATAGAATAAATGGGAGGGCAGGATAGGATTAAGGGAAATAGAGTTAGTTTTTCACAACATGTCTACTGGAAGTGTTTTGCATAACTGCACATGTACAACCTATATTGAGTTGCTTGCCTTTTCAATGCGGGTGGGGGGGGAGGGAGGAAGGGAGAAAATTTGGAACTCAAAGTTTTAAAAACACGTTTTAAAAAAATGTTTTCACATGCAACTGGGAAATAAGAAATACAGGAAATGGGGTACAGAAGTCTATCCTGCTTACAGGAAAATAGAAGGGGAAGGGGATAAGAGAAGGGAGGGGGAGAGATAGAAGAGAAGGCAGACCAGGGGAAGGGTATTCAGAATGCATGCCATCTTGGGGTGGGGGAAGCGGTGAGAAATTTGGAACTCAAAAGCTTGTGGAAGTGAATGGTGAAAACTAAAAATAAATAAATTTATATTAAAAAAAAAAAAGCAAAGGAATGTGAGACGGAGCTCAGTTCAATCTAGCACCAGGTTAGGGGAACTATGTTCCTCAGCCACCACAAAAATCATGAAAAACAAGCAGAGTTTACCTGCTACCACATCCACAACACACCCTCCCACACCACTGGCCTGACCAATAGGCATCCCTAGCTTTTGTAATCACATGGCAGTCATATTAACTACATTTGTCAAACTCTGGGGGTGGGGATGGGTGCAGAAAATGGAGGAAGGAGATGAAAGAGAGATGCGACTTAGTTCTTGGATACCCAAGGGGTCTGGGGAGTGGGATATCAGGGTACCCGCTTTGTGGGCCTCCTGATTCAAGTCACATAGCCCAAGAACCTCACTCTAATATAGCCCAGCCCCTCATTGTAACATTCATTTTTTCACTGTTAACCAATCAGAGTTGATTGCCACCCTCAGGAACACCTACTCTTCCAAGAGCATATAAACCGTGAGCCCACTACCATGGGCTTTGGTCCAAGACAGACAGCCAAATGACCATCCTTTTATTAATAAACATGCTGGCATTATTAAGATGATTAATTACTATCACAGTCAGGGAAACAAGGCAACTGAACCACATGTGGTTGCACCTACTGCAAATAATCCTCTTAAATGCGCCTGCCTTTTTCTACACTTGTGTGCAATGTCTACAGGTCATCTAGGAGATCAGAGCAGGGAGATCCAGAGCTGTAGATCTGGTGTGTGTGTGTGTATATATATATATATATATATATACACACACACATATATAGCAGAATTGGCTGGTTTGGAGGGCAGACATGGAACCAGCCAGGTTAAGGCCTCTCTGTCAGGGTAACATAACCTTAGAGGATCTAGTCTGACTGAATAATTCTCCTTTTGTCCTTCGATCTGTGTGCCATGTGTTATGTGCATTCCGGGGGGGGGGGGGCTTTTGAGATCATGTGCAGTGAGGGCTTGTGGATAGAGGACACTGTCTGATGCTTTGGTGATGATAACTCAGCATCACAAGGTCAATGACTTGTCCTTAATGATACACTCTGAAACATTCCATCTTCACAGGGCCAAGCACAGATCCATGGGGGTGGGGCCTTAGGAGGGAATAAACATTTATTAAATACCTACTATATGCCAGGCATTGTGCTAAGTACCTCACAAATCTTATCAAAGAGAGATAGAGGCAGGCACAGCCTGAGAGGGAGCCTTTAGACAGAGTAGTCGTCTAAGGCAGGAGTGGGTTCATGCATCTCAGTACGGTTCAACAAACATTTCCTAAGCCCCTTACTTTGTGTGCAGGGCCCTGTGTTGGCTGCTGTGGGAGACCAAGATCTCAGCCAGCCCATTTGTGCAAGGCCAGCAGCTAGTCGCCCAGTACCATCCCTACAGACCATCTTTGTAGCTTCTTTTTCTTTCCCCTTGAGACTTAAAGACTGGGTTCAATGATGCCACCCCTGGAGGGCTCAGGAGAATAGGAGAGCATGTTCCTTCTGCACTTGTGGCCCCACACATCTCCCACCCATCCTAGGCCCTGGCCGAATCTGAGTCTTTTCCTTTCACCTGGGAATTAGAGATACTCTAGCCCCATCCCTTCATTTTACAGTTGCAAAATATTGCAACCCCATTAATGGTAAGTGACTTGTTCAGGGACATATAGACGGTGGATAAGAAAAGAAAGATTCAAAGCCAGGCCTTCTTACTCCAAACTGAGCATTCTTTTCATTCCACCTTTATGCCTTCATGTTCTTCATTTACCCAAGGGCCAGTGGGAAAGCCTCCAAGTCTGCCAAGGGGAGAAAGGGGTACTCACATCTCCAAATACTTTAGGAATCTCTTTCCCATCCATCCACCTGCCTCAGGTCTTGGCTAGGTCCTTGGCTGTTTGCTGAGAGTAGTGCTAGAGATTTAGGCTTTGGGGTTATAGAGAATAGGCCATCCAACTATACTTTGTTGCTACTTGTGCTCCTGGACCAGAGTTGGAGGGCTTTCCAGTGGGAGGGCTGGGGGCCGAAGAGGATAGGAGTGGAGAAGGAGAAGGAGGGGATACTCTGGACCAAACAGGGGGTGAGTAGGGTTTAAGGAGGAGCAATTCAAATCACAGATCCGTAGCTGGAAGAGGCCTTAGGGAACCCTTAGTCTAAGACCTCCATTTGGCAGAGGAGAAACTGAGGCCCAGAGACAGGAAAGGACTTGTCTATGGAATTTAAAAAGTTTGAAAGATGGAATTTCTGCGTAATTTAATCATCTTAATAATGCCAGCATGTTTATTAATAAAAGGATGGTCATTTGGCTGTCTGTCTTGGACCAAAGCCCATGGTAGTGGGCTCACGGTTTATATGCTCTTGGAAGAGTAGGTGTTCCTGAGGGTGGCAATCAACTCTGATTGGTTAACAGTGAAAAAATGAATGTTACAATGAGGGGCTGGGCTATATTAGAGTGAGGTTCTTGGGCTATGTGACTTGAATCAGATCACCCAAGTCTTGGTCAAAGAGACTCATCAATTTCCATATCACCTGTCTGACAAAAGGGAGAGTCAGCATTTGCCCAGACCTGTCCAGCTAACACAATGAGCAGGAATCTATCCATTAACCCAAATTTAGAATTTCTTTTCCTGTCTGATTAGATCTTGGCCTGGATACTTCTCTGAGAGAGATTTCCCACACTGACTGACTTCTGGAAGAGGAAGTAGAAAAGAGGAAAAACCTTGATTCTGATTCAATAATTAATTATTAACACAAGAGAGAAATAATCATTTCTCTCATGTCCAAGGGCCCCCAGTGACTGAGAGAGAAAGAGCAGAGCTTGTGCTAGAATCCCATGCTCCAGCCCCACACAGAACTCCTACTTGGACTTCCCTGTCCTTGGCAGGGGACAGCTGGGATCAGTGCAACCTCGTAGTTTGGCCAAAGGGGCCTGGCCTCATCCAAAAGCCTCAACATCTGAGGCAGAAATGACATATTGCCTATCTCCACGCTGCCTCCTCAGAGCCATGAGAAGAATGTCTTGAGAATCCCAATGTGTCTTCAGCTGGTAAGCAGAATGAAAAGAGGCTGAAGAATCAGTAAGACACCTGAAGTCCCCAAGTCCTGTAAAAGAAGAAGCGGGGCAGTGTCTGGGATCCTTACACCAGGAAGAGGAAGCAGGTACCTGTGGAGTTTTACTAAGGGATGCTACCTCTTCTGAGGTACCTAGAGCAGCAGAATCCCCAACTCTGCTCATCCCTCCCTCTGCACAGTCCCTCATCCTCCCTTCTCTCTCTTTTCATCACCTCTCTTCCACCTTCTCCCATTCTCTCTAATCATTTCTCTTTCCTGACCATTGTCTCCCCTGCCCTCTTCTCCTGTATCTTTTCTTTCTATCCCACTTCTATCTTTTTAATTTGTCAACTTTCTTTTATCCCCCTCCTTCACCACTGTCCTCTTCCATCTCACTTTTATTATTCTCTTTTCTTCCCATTTTTTCTTCTCCTCTGACTTGCTTATCTTTCTTCATTGCCTGTTGTCACTGGTGCCAGGCAGCTGGGAGAAGCTGGAGGAGGAGGGAGCTTATGACATCACAGATTCCATCTGTGACCCATGGAGGGGGAAGGCTTTGTGAGGTCATCCCATTCCAGGTTATATACGGCCAGCCAGCTCTGGTATCTCTTCAATGCCACAGGCAGGAGAGAGAGTGAGGAGCTGATAGGGAGGGCAGCTCTGGACGCAGGAGCTCACAGGATTCTCCCCTTTTTCCTATGTCTGGCAGGAAGAGAAAGGCCCTCCCAAGTAGAAGAGGAAGGAAGACATAGCTCTCAGAGGCCCCTACAGCTTTTAGTAGTCACTGTATCCTGAAAGAGACATTGGGGGGAGGGCAGGGGAGGAAGAGGATCTGAGCCCACTTTGAGATCTGAAGAAGATAAGAAAAAGGACACAAACAGAAGAAAAGAAAGAGAGAGCTAGACATTGAATACCTGCCAAGATTAAAGACAAGACTGAGGTTAAGAAGTCAAGGTTGGTGTGAACATAGAAGCAGAGGACCACATATCACTTTGAGGACCAGGGGATTTCTCAGACTGACAATTCTTCCAAAGTGAGAGAAGTGAGGGCCACCCAGGTCAGTACCCTTGCTATGCGCTGTTGTCTCATTGTGGGTGTTGCTCTTGGCCTCCTGCTAACACCCTTGATTGAGGCCAGGCGCTGCTACTATTGTGACATCGCTAACTTTAGAACATGTGTGGGTGTCCAGATAACCTGTGCAGAAGAGAATGACTGCTACATAGGCCGTGGTGCAGTCCGTGGTCTCCCAACAATCATCAGCAAGGGCTGCTCGAAGGCTAGCCACTGTGGACGAGTGCGACACGTCACATACATGGGCACCGCTTACAATCTGATTACCTCCTGCTGTCAGGCAGAGCTGTGCAACATGGGCTCTGAAGTTCAAAACAAGACTCTAATGGATGTAGCTGCTGCTGCTGCCACCAACCTGTCTGCTAAGACTTTCCTGATGGTGTTGCTTTTATTTCTGCTCTAAGCATAAGAGGATGAATTCCTGCCTTGCTCCATCTAGGCCCCATCCTCTGCCCCTCTCCCTACATCCCTTCCTCATGTGAATCGCACCAATAAAATAGCTGGAGGCAGAACCTGTAGTGGATTGTGTGGTTCATTGGGAGCCCTAGAAGAGGTGGGGGAAGATAGCTTGGGAGGAAGGGGGAGTCTGTTCTGGGGGAGTTCCTGATAACTTATATCCATCAAGCCCCAAGATCATTTATTAGAGCCTGGATTCCCGGGGGCAGAGTCCAAGGCTCTGTTGCAGGGAGAAGGAGATGAGGAGGACTGTCAGAGAACCTCAGTGTAGGGGATTCCCTTTTCTTGCAAACTAAAAGGTATCTCTTAAAAAGGCAAAGTAATGCCATACATAGTTCAGCTCAATACAACATTGGATCTCCATAAGCCTCATCCCAAAAGAATAACAAAAACAAAATCAATCTTCTACTGTACAGAAAGAACCACACCATCATCTATGGGCATCAGTATATATTCTTCTGTTTTAGTTACTGTCATTGTCAGGCTGAGTCACTTCATCTTAGCCGTGCTTTTGAAACTGGGAGAGGGGAAGGAGGGGTAGATATGGAGTGTTCCTACTTTTCCTATATAAGCTTTGTTGTACATGGATGTTTTCCTTTTATTCAGCTCCTCAATGGAGGAATCCACATCTTTTCCTGGGACCTGGACAGCCCATCCATTCCAAGGGCCTTAGGTTGCTATATCTGAACTAATCATGAGAGCTTTCCAAAAAAATGTTCTATGCTGCCTCTGTAGTAGGAGCCCTCCTTATGTTGAGGTGTGAGAGGTTTAGACCCCTCAAGGACCAGAGTAGAGGATGGGGCCATTGGGAATGAAATCACAGACTCAAGCATTCTTTAAATCAGGGTGGCAAAGATTTATCGTTATGCTATACAGCGGGCAGAGGTCCTTAAGGAATTCTGCCATGGTGGGCAGAGCTCCTTAGGGAACTTGCAACCTAACAGAAATGATGCTAAAGCTTATATAGGAAAAGTAGTGGATTATGTGGCAAGCATGCTAATTAGGTGATAACATACAACTATGTCATTCACTACTGGAAACTGAGGGGAGGGGAGTTTCCTAAGGGGTGTGTTTTTGGTCTGTTATGTCTGTAACAAGATAGTTTCAGGAGTTGACGTCTATAGCTGGACCTCTGGATTGTATACGTAACTGTGGGCATCAGTACTTGATAGTTGTGCTGGTACAAGATAGTCCTGGTCATACAAGGGAAATTCTACAGAGGTCAGCTTGTTCTTGTAACAGGGAGACATAGTTCGCCTCACTGGGCCCACTTGTGAGTTATTGCCAGAGATAGGGTCCTTGGGCTGGAGGGAAACTGTCAGGGATAGCGTTTCTGAGGCCAGGGAGAAATATGATCTTGGAAGTGTGGTCTTAGTACAAGCACCCAAGCACCCCATCAATTGGAAATAGTCAAGCAAAGGGCTGATGACTACTTGATGGGTTTTTATAGAGGGGATTCTTGTTCAAGCCATAGACTAACCAAATAGCCACTAAGCTCAGACCCTTCCAACTCAGAGATTGATTTTGAATAGCTTTTAGTGGTGGGTAAGTAAATGGTAAGAGGGCTTCACAAAGAAAAAGGCCATTTGAGCAGAATTTGATGTTTGTAGAAGAGGAAAGGATATTTTGGGTAGAGAGACTAGCATGAGGTAGAAAAGTGTGGGATGTTTGGAAATAATGGTGAATTACAGCTGATTTTTATCTGTATGTGTATATCTATATTTATATATCTACACATACATCAAAATTGATAGAGATATAGATTTGTACACACCCATAGATTATTCTAAGCATTTTCATACATACAGTGGCTTTATTGTACTGGAGTATAATGAGAAGTGGATGCTTGTGAGATTTTTAAAACAAATAATAAATGGCCCTTACCTTTTGTTGGCCATTTCTTTCTGGTAAATGAGGGAAAGAGTATACGCTGAATTTAAAGATAGTAAAATTGATAGCCCAGTTATCATAGTGGGGGAAGCCGTGGGTCTGTGCTGGGTGCTTCATGGAAGGGCTGGCAGGCTGCTATTCTTAGGTATTGTTAAGCCTCAGGTTCCCTTTGTACCCATCCTCCTTTTGAACCAGTGGAACCTCTTCCGGCTTTCCCTCCTGACGTGGCCCTTCCTATTTCCTGCCTTCTTGTGGAAGGCCTCACCTAATTAATTCTATATTCTAGGTAGACTGTTGCTTGAAGCAGGTGAAGTATGCTGGCATTTAAAGAAGGCTTTTATTTTTATTTATTTTTGCTGCTTGTGTATGAGATTTAGTGTTAGTGAAAATGGCTGTCAGAGAACATGGCTGAATTATTATGGGGGGGGGGACTCCCAGCTGATTGGTCACCATGGCAACTACTGAACTCATTGCTTCCAGAAACCAGCAAGGTGGCTGGTAGCCATGGCAACTTCTGAGCTTTTATTGCTTACAGAGAAATGTGGAGCTGATTGGTTGCCATAGTGACTGCTGAGCTTTTACTACAAGCAGGGGATGTTCTCATGATATCTTGACCTACTGATGGTGGAGGCAGAGGGGAGTAACTTTTAATTGTTGATCTTAATTGGATTTCACAGTACACAAGCGTTCATTGCATTTGGAGCCTTGAACCAGAATGACTGGAACCAGCCTACAATATTTGGTGTAAGTTGGCAGAGGGTTTGTTTTCACAATGGCATTGTGATTAAATTCATTTTTTTAACTGTGGGAAGGATGTTACGAAAGGAAGAAAGCCCTGGGTGATGCAACAGTCAGAAATAAAATTTTTGTTCTCAGTGGCAAAGGTGTTAATATGTGGAGAACTTTGGTGGGGGCGGGTAGAATTAGGGGGAGCTAAAGAGAAGGCCTTTATCAACCTCGTGGGATTGACCTGGACAATATTCAAGGAGCCTTAAGAGAGAAACATTCCCTGGCTTCTTATAGGCACCTATGGAAAGTAAACATTTTCAAAACAAGTAAAGTAAAAAGAAATTTTATTTTTGTATCAGGCAGTTAAGTTAGGGAGGAGGGAATATTTATTTAGTGTTATTTATAAATATTATCTCATTTGATCTTCAAAGCAACCCTGTGAAGGAGGTGCTATGATTATACCCATTTACAATTGAAGAAACTAAGGCATACAGAAGTTAAGTGACTTGTCTTGATTAACACAAATATGTAAGTGTCTGAAACTGGATTTGAACTCAGGTTATATTGACTTCAAGCCCAGCTTTCTAGCCACTGTGCCACCTAACTGCTTATGTAAAGGTAACCAAGTTGTAAAAACAAAACCAAAACATTGAGGACAGAGAAGTGTTTAATGGATCTATTAGTTACCTAAGTGAAGAATGCAATGCACATGAAACAGAGGGTAATTAATTACACATGGAAAGTTTGCTTTTGGATTGGGGGGGGTTTCTCTGGAGAATGTTGAATTTTTCAGAAATTAGGGTTATAAGAGAGGAAACTAGAAGTGGGATAATCAGAACTGGGAATTAGAGCATACTGTAAAGAACCTCAGTTTTCTCAGTTTTGTCTCCTTACTGCTGTCTCTGGTCACATCCTGAGAAGTGACTTCCAGTATGGAGGAGTGAGAGTTTGGGTATGGATGGACTTTAGATGTGTTGTTATTATTGCTATTTTCTTTAGGGGTTGACTGGTGCATTCTTTCTCTTTTCACATTGTTCTCTAATTTTAATAAGTCTGTAAAGCTTTCATTCACGATTTCTTGGAACATCAGGCTCTCAGGTCATGGCTTTTAGGTAGTCCACTGATTCTTAGTTGTTGTTCTCCCCTCCCCCTCCCTGGGGGCCAGTTTTGATATGATATACTTCATATTTTCTTCTATTTTTTCCCAGCCTTTTTGCCTTTTTAAAAAACATTTCTTGTTTTCTTTTGGAGTATAAACTTCTGTTTTGTCCATTCTAATTTGAAGGGAGTGTTTTTACTGGGGTATGGTTTTGCATCTGTTACACTAAACTATAAATCCTCCTCTCAACTTTCCTAGTAGTATTCTCTTCCTTCTTTAATTATTTTCTTCTAGAGCTCTCATTTCAGTTATAATGTGACTTTTAACTCTTGCTTCATTTCTTCTAGGAATTCCAGTTGACTTTGTGGTCAAGCTGTGTTTTTGTTTGAGGTTTTGCTTCTTGTAGATGTTGTAGAGTTATTTTCTTAGATGTCCCTGGCTCCATGATAACTCTTTAGCGTGAGTGTCATATTTTATTTGCTTCTTTTTCCATACTTTCTGAATCAAGGCTTTATGTTAAAGCTTGGCTCTGCATACTTCTGGAGGGAATGTTGTTGGCTTCTAGGATCCTGAGCTGTTTCCTCTGATGCCTGCTATTGCCTTATCCTGCTATTTCTTTTCAAAACTCCTGGCAGTACCTTAATCCAGGGAATGGCAAACTTTCTGTGAGTCCTAGGAGCAGTCTGCAGTAGGGTAAAAAATATAATCATTCTTTGTTTTCTCACTGGATGAAATAAAATTGCAGGCCTGCCCCTGGTTAGAGGCCCAGTAGACAGCTACTTATTCCAGCAGATGGAAGGCTTTACAGGTTCAAAACAACAGTACTGTAGGCTTCCCCCAGTTACTTACATGTAAGCCCCAGCCTGCCATATGGACTGAATATAGGATACTGCTTTGAGGTCACAACAATATAGTTGCAGGCTTGCTCCAGTTCTTGTTCCCTGCCCAGTATAAACCCACATAACCCAGATATACAGTATTAACATGAACATAGCAACAGGATGACATGGGCCTTCCTAGATGAACTCACCTCCCTATTTCCTGTAGATCACTTGCTGTCTCCCTGTGTTGGCCTTGGCTGGACCAACTGTGGTTTCTTCTTGGACATCTCAACCATTAAGAGGTCTAAAGGTCTTCCCTGACCTTTATTGGAGTAGTTCTGGGAGATAGCTAGACAGTACAGTTTTTTTTTTTTAACTAGTCCTCTCAGGATGGATAAACAGCCAGCCAGTAAATCTTTAAAACAATGGCTGACAAGAGAATGGTCTTGTGGGGGCACTTTATAGTATTTTTCAGTTGCAGAATTCCATTGGGTGGGGGAGTTTATGATTTCTCTTTTCTTCTCTAGGAGAAGTTTCCAGAGAGACAAATTTGAGAGTGATTTGAAGAAAAATTTCCTAATAATTAGAGCTATCTAAAAGTGCAGTGGACAGGTAGGTGGCACAATAGATAGAGTACTGGGCTTGGAGTCAGGAAGACCCGAGTTCAGATCTAGCCTTAGACATGTACTAGCTTTGTGATCCTGGGCAAGCCACATAACCCTGTTTGCTTCAGTTTCATTTGTAAAATGAGCTGCAGAAGGAAATGTCAAGCTCCAGTATCTTTGCAAAGAAAACCCCAAATGTGGTCATAGAGTCAAACATGACTGGGATCTCTTTCAGAAGGTGATTGGTGGATTCTTTCAGTTTTTATTTTACCCTCTGTTTCTAAGATATTGGTGCAGTTTTTCTTTACGACTTCTTGAAATATGATGTGTAGGATCTTTTTTATCATGGCTTTCAGGTAGTCTAGTAAATCTTAAATTATATCTGTTTTCTGGGTCACTTGTTTTTCTGATGATATATTTTATATTTTCTTCTATTTTTTCTTTCTTTTGACTTCTACTTTTTCTTCACTTGCCCTTTTCTTCACTGAATTTTTGTAATCTTTTTTCCATTTGGCCTATTGTGCTTTTTAAGGTGTATTTTCTTCAGTATTTTTGTATCTCTTTTACCAAGCTTATAATTTTCTTTTTGTTATTTTCTTACTTTATTCTCATTTCTTTTCCCAATTTTTCTTCTACCACACTTATTTCTTTCCTTAACTAAAGCTTCTAGGAATCCTTGTTGGGCTTGTGTCCAAGTAGCATTTTTTCTTTGAGGCTTTGTTTGTAGCTGTTTTCCCGTACTGTTGTCTTCTTCTGAGTTTATGTCTTAGTCTGCCCTGTCACCATAGTAGCTTTTCATGGTCAAGTTCTTTTTTTTGTTGTTTACTCATTTTTTCAGCCTATTTCTAGACTTTGAACTATATAAAGTTGGGCTCTGGGGATAAGCTAGAAGCATTTCCAGTAAGATCAGGGGTGAAACATTCTTGTTTCATTATCACCACTGTTATTCAATATGGTAGCTTTAGCAATAAGAGAAGAAAAAGAAATTGAAGGAATTAGAACAGACAAAGAAGAAACAAAGCTATCACTCTTTGCAGATGGTGTGATGACATACTTATCCTAGAGAATCAAGTGAAAAACTACTTGAAATAATACACAACTTTAGCAAAGTTGCAGGCTATAAAATAACCCACATAAATCATCGGCATTTCCTATATATTACCAGCAAAGCCCAACAGCAAGAGATAGAAAGAGAAATTCTACTTAAACTTATGTAGACGTTATAAAATATTTGGAGTCTACCTGCCAAAACAAACCAAGGAACTATATGAACACAATTACAAAACACTGTTCATACAAATAAAGTCACATCTAAATAACTGGAAAGACATCAGTTGCTCATGGGTAGGCCGGACTAATATAAAAAAATGACAATTCTACCTAAATTCATTTACTTATTCGGTGCCATACTAATCAAACTGTCAAAAATTATTTTATAGAGCTAGAAAAAATAATAACAAAATTCATCTGGAAGAAAAAAAGGTCCAGAATATCAAGGGAACTAATGACAAGAAATAGAAAGGAAGGTGGCCGTGCCATACTGGATCTTTAATTGTATCATAAAGTAGCAATCATCAAAACTACTTGGTACTGGCTAAGAAATAGAGTGGTGGATCAGTGGAATACGTTAGGTACCCAAGACACAGTAGTCGATGACTACAGTAATCTACTATTTGATAAACCCAAAGACCCCAGCTTCTGGGATAAGAACCCACTCTTTGAAAAAAAACTGCTGGGAAAACTGGAAAAGAGTATGGCAGAAACTAGGCATAGACCCAAATCTCACACCATATACCAAAATAAAGTCAAAATAGGTACATGATTTAGATATAAAGGCTGATACTATAAGCAGTCTGGGAGAGCAAGAAATAGTTTACCTGTCAGATTTATAGAGAAGAGAAGAATTCATGACCAAACAAAGAGAACATTATGAAATGCAAAATGGATAATTTTGATTACATTAAGTTGAAAAGTTTTTGTACAAACAAGTCCAGTGCAACCAAGATTAGGAGGGAAGCAGAAAACTGGGAAAGCATTTTTATAACCAGTGTCTCTGATAAGGGACTTATTTCTAAATCTATAATCATATGAAAACATGCTCTAAATCACTATTGATTAAAGAAATGCAAATCAAAACAACTCTGAGGTACCACATCAAACCTATCAGATTGGCCAACATGACAAAACAGAAAAATGATAACTACTGGAAAGATGTGGAAAATTGGAACACTAATGCATTGTTGGTGGAGTTGTGAACTGATCCAACCATTCTGGAGAGCAATTTGGAACTATGCCCAAAGAGGTATAAAAATGTGCATACCCTTTGACCCAGCAATATCATTTCTAGGTCTGTATCCCAAAGAGATCATAAAAAAGAGAAAAAGGACCCACATGTACAAAAATATTTATAGCAGCTCTTTCAGTGGTGGCCAAGAATTGGAAATTGAGGGGATGCCCATCAACTGGGGAATGGCTGAACTAGTTGTAGTA